ACAAATGGCCTCACAATTTTACTAGATTTTTTTATTTAAGAAATGCAAAACTACACCCATCTGCCTAAATATACGAATTAATAATCGCTTTAGTTCAAATGGAACAATTTAAGAAACACTTACTGCCAATCAAGATCGATGGCCCGGCACCATTCACACGCCAGAGAAAACTACTTTCTCATTTCTATCTGCAGCATGACTAGCATCAGCATCAGCACAGTGCATCGTTCATGTTCTAAAAGCATTAATCGAGCAATTTCATGATTAAAGGCAATTCGATGACTCGACAATTTTTTTCAATTAATACGAAGTTTCAACAAATTTCATATTTGAGCATTAAGTTCGAGAAGATGCAGTTTCACAAAATACTATCTATGAATTGCTTTTTACTATTTTCGAATCATGTTTTATTGTCCTTAATCTGAGCTTGAACTCGAAATGTGGAAAAGAAAAAACTCAGACTGATAAGAGGGCTATTAGTGTTTACTTAAGCCACTAAATGGTAAAACTGGCATCGCAGGAGCAGTTGCTTTAGTATGCCAATAAGAACAAAGTTTTTGGGTCACCAGAAAATGTGATGAAAATGAAAAGCAGCATAGTCAGCAGAAAACACGAATAATTTGATTCATTACAAGAAATTGAATTGAGTTGAAGACATACATAATTTCACAATATGATTAGGAAGAAGAATAAAATAAAAGAGTATAAACCACAAAAATTATGGAGCAATGGCTGTGGTAATAATAAAAATTACAACAATAACACGCGATCTAACTAAAGCGGCTGCTTTGACGTGCTTGCTTCAATGTGATTGTTACAAGTAAAAAGTTAAAATTCGGTTTAAGCAACAAAATATCGGTCAGTGGAACTCAACAGTAGCAACAACAATATCAACTATACATTTTATGCACATAAATATACGTAGTTGAATAAAGCAAATGTAAACCAAAAAAAAAAAATAAAATCAAAACAAACAACAAATTAAATTGAACCACAACAATGAGCACATCGAACGCCGCAAAGTGAGCAGCAGCAGCAGTGACAGTGGCAGAAACTGATTTTCTAGTGGCTGTCTCGCTTGATACGCCTTTTATTGAGAATTGACCACAAGACACTGGATCACCGCTGCATCGGCTGGGATGCGCTTTCACACGTGCGTGTGTGTGTGTGTGTGCATGCGCGTACTCCAGTCACTGCTGCAAGTTCAAGTTGTTGCTTTGTTGTTTTAGCCAACGCATCGCAGAACCGATTGCATTCTCATCACCTATCATTGCTGAGAAAGCTTGAAAATTGCGCTCGCTATGCGTTGGCCGGCGCAATGGTTATTATCATGCATGAATAATTGATAGCAACGGCGACAACATATGTACTCGTACATAGGCAACATAACGATGAGAATCATCATCCTCATCAATGTTGGTCAATTGCATTGTTGTTGTTGTTGTTGTAGTTGGTCCAGCGCCACTTTTACTCATTCGAATGTGGCGGCAGGCACGCTATAATTGCTCACGAGCAGAGTTTCAGTTTCAGTTTTCATGGAAAAGGCTTAATGAAGACTGGCACATACATACATACATACAAACATTTAAGCGTACTTTCTTCTTTTTACAGATAATTTTTGTTTTTTTTTTACTTTTTCCCGCAATGTAAAATGCGCCTTTGACATTTGAGTAATTTTATATCTCTTTTTTTTCAGTGCTGATCTCGTCAGGCCCGGGCTTAAGCAGCCGCTTTACCATTCTCATAGCGCAATTACCACTTCCAAATAAACATAAAAAATGATTGTAAACAATATTACTGTGTTAATAGTGAATCTTAGAAACATACAGACGGCTGCTTGCCGTACAATCATAAACACATTAAATGACTATTTCATAAACATAAGCTCACGAAGCTCAGAAGGCAGTAAGCACGAGTAGTGAAAACGCTATAATTTCAAGTGAAATTTACCATTTTGAGTTTCACTAGAAAACATCGCAGCTAATAGGAAATCAACTGCAGCATGTGTACATACATGTAAATACATTCATATATAAGTAGTACACAATGCCGAAAATTGCATTTGATATTAAAAAAATGTGACCATACAAAATGAAAGACTAGGCAGTTATCAAAAAGCAGTGGGTAATCAAATTTCTTTTATTCGTTAATAGATTGTGTCAGCATACTACGTACATTTAGACACACTAAATGAGTGTATTCAAAAAAAAAATATCAAAAATCAGCGGGATTTTTACCACCTTGAGACTTGTACTTCATTATACTACAGTTAAATGGACTAAAAAACTGCATACCAATTTTTCCAAAGATTCTGATTGAAAGGTTTAAAAAATTTTATATGGTAATTATTGTATAACCCTTCAGTAACTCGGACTCAGCCCAAGTTAGCTCCCCCTCAATGGTGTCAATATTTCTGGATGTACAATTAATTTATGTAATTTTCGCTTGCTTTTAAAGTGAAAAGCTTTAAATAGGTATAATACTTTTAGTCACTGTGAAAAAACGCCATTTTTTAAAGAAGTATACAACTCGTGTACTTAAAGGAGTTTTCGAAATTTGAATTTAGCAGAAAAAAGAGCTATTGTGCAATGGAACCATATTTCATGAATAGGTTCCCCTACCTCAGGTTCATAGGCTCTTCCTAAGGATCTGACAATTAGTTCCGAAATATAAATAAACAATCTTACTAAGGCATTCTGTAAACAAGAAGGTAAACGGTTACTGTCGTAAAGTACTTCCCCGATCGAGAGTAACCGCTTACCTTGGTTGGTGTTAAACGAACGGTGTTCAAAAACGATTTATTTCGAAAATATTTTTGAAGAATGTTGCCACACGCTAAAAAAAAATTAAAAACAATTTAAGGATGTTCAATGAAATACTTTTCCGTGAGTATCAAATGAGAATAGTTAAAGAAAGCGTTATTTATAAATATGTTTGAAGAGGGTTGCCAGCTGTTTAGGTATTCCATATCAATTGAACTAACAATTTAGGTTCAAGAATGCTTTATTTAGAAAGCATTTTTTAAAAAGGGATACCACCAGTACACATTTCACGTTCAATTTGTTGAGGGGTTAAATTAAACATTAGATACAAACAAGAGAAGTCAAATAACGATTTTTTTTCAAAATATACCTCTGTTACGTGTCTTAAAAGTAAAATTTAAATTTGTAAATGTTTTTGTTATTTATTTAGTTGATGTAAAATTCACTTTTTCTGATTTAATGCCTTACACATTATTTCAGGTAACTTTAATTATAAGTTGGTTGGCCATTTGTTGGGATTTAACTAAACTTAGTTAGTTGCAATATTAAATCGAGGTATCTTACATATGAGGCCTTGAGGGCCAAAGTAGCTTAAGTGACATTAAAAAAAAAAAGATGAGTTTCACCTTAAAACACATTAATAGAATATAAACATCAGCATCACGTAGGTGGAATGAACTTTTAGTAATTTATTTATTTATTCTAGGTCCTTCTTTCTCATATTAACGATTTTTTTTTTATTGTAGATATGCTCTTCTGGTCCTCATGGCCTCATATGTAGTTACACTAAATTAATTCGAAAGCACATTTGACACATTTTCAAAAATTTATATAAATCAGTTTTTCCGTTTGAGTAAAATAAAATACAACAATTTGGCATTGATATGAAACTTAAATTATAGATATGGGTCATACCATGCAAAATTTACACCTCCATATCTTATGTGTAATATTTTTCGGTTTTTCGTTAGAGTATGAGAAAGATTTAAATAAATAATTTTTTGCATTTAAAAATTGCACTTGTTGAATATTTTTTTAATACAATTTTTATTAATTATAAACCGTTAAATTTTTTTGCAATCTAAGTTGTTGTCAAATTTCATGGAGTAGACTGTTGAGTTCGATAGTAGAGCCTTCTTAGAGTATGAATAAAAAATATTTCTTTCCAGAAAATAAAGAAACCACGATTTCGTCTGTTTTCCTACAAGTCCAAGTTCTCAAAATCTTTAAGAGTATCAGAAGTTTGTTGCGAATTACGATTACCTTTCGCATCTTCAAAGAAAATCATATCAGGCGGTTGCCACGAACTCATTAAAAAATTTCTGTATGATTTCATAAAAAAATTGGGGAAAAATCCTGAAAAAATTCTTCTCATCGCAGCATTATTTTTATTTATTTACGGATTTTCTTCCGAAATTTCGTAAAACCACCCAAGTGTACCTAGTTTATTTCATCTTAGAAAATTCGTCAAAAATTCAGAAAGGAATAGAATGATTTCTTTAGTATTTCTCTACCATTCAGAATAAGAAAACAAAACTAACTACCAACATAAACATTTCAACGTAGAATACGGAAGCAAGTGCAATGCAAAATAAAATCCGTATTATCGCAAGTAATCTACCGATCATCAGACGTAAAATTCCTTGCATTTATCAACGAACATAAACATTAGGGTGAACCAAAAGAGTAAAGTCAAAATTTTACTGCTCTCATTCCGTAGGATTGCTCTATACCGAAAAAAAATTATAACCCTGTTAACCCTGATTTTCAAGAATTCTATACTATTTCTATGAAAATTTCTTTTTCCCCATACAAAATACATACATGGATAATTTTGAGCGCTTTAAGTGGCTTCTAAATATTTTTCGATTTCAAAACAAGGGGTATAATACTTTTCGGTATAGAACAATCCTGTGGGTTGAGAGCTTTAAATTTCCGACTTTACTTTTTCACATCCATTTTTGGACCACCCTAGTGTACATACGAGTACTTATACTAAAAATAAATTTCCCTCAATTACTGAATATTAAAACTTCTAATTTCAATTGCCTTAAGTTTATAGTTGCGTTTAAAAGACAATAACACTAACATTTAGAATACTCTTCTGCCGATTGTGTGTGCGAGGGTAAGTTAAAAGAAAGCCAACCATAAAAATTTAACAATAAATACGAGTATTTATAAAATTAGCCGAAAAAACGTATCTTGTAATTGCGAAACGCATAAAAAATCCACACTTACCTGACTAACCAGTAGGTTAGCGAAAATTAGCAAGGCCGCAAGCAGCTGGCTCCTTGCTGCCGTCATCTGCTGCAGCGTGTGTGCTTGTGTGGTCATCGCGTTCGGCGCTTAAGTCTTTCCTTCTTTTTTTATTGTTTCTTTTAAGCTTTCGCTGCGCAGTTGACTCAACTATGAATTTTTTGCTTCTGCTGAATTGCACGCTTTCGTCCAACGGAATTTCTAGAATTAACGCTTTGTCAATTACACTTAACTTTTGCGCGGCACTTCACTAGAGTAACTTTGACTGTTGTGTTTTTTGTTTTTTTTTTTTTACTTGTAATATTATTTTTCTACACTATTTCACAGCAAGCGCTTCTTAGCCGCTACCACTTGCAATCACCGCTACTGTTTGATTATAATTGGCGACGCACTTCGAAAAATAATGTTGACTTAAAAATTAATTATACTGCGTTATTGTTATGTGCAAAAAGTAGGAAAAAAATAAATATACGACTAACAAAATAGAAACACTTTTGCGTGCGTGCCTATGTGTTAGGTATGCGTTGTTTTTTTTATTTTATTTATGAATTTTTATGACTGTGATGTGATAATTTAACTGGTTTTTATGCGAGTCACATACAGGTCGTTATTAAATATTTTGCTCAGCTGCTATTTGTTGCATTTTTAATTCAAATTTTTCTTATTATTGCTTTGAGGCTTAATTACTTTTGTCTATAACATTGACAAGTGCGAGTTTTGCATAAACTATTGAGCATTGTACTTGTATGTAGATGCTTATTAATTTTCTAAAATGAATCTTTATAAATAGCGATACATATGGAAGTACACTGGAAAACTTATAATTGCATGAAAGTATGATAATTTTCAACTAGGCTGTAGTGTCACAACAATTACCAGCACGTACAAAATTATAAGTAGCACTCTGATGATAATTGTCGATTGCGTCTGTGGTTTTTTTTCTAGTTTTCCTTTGTGGTTTTTGCGATTTGACGCCACTGATATTCTTGCCACAATTTTGAGGTATCACTTCCTAGAACTTGACAAACCCATATTTCACTCGAAGCGATAACTAGCATTTATAATGTGTTTCCTTATGCAATAGTAGGTATACATACCCAGTGGGAAGATGTAATGTATTGTAGGCGTTTTCATATTTTTCCCACGATGATTTTTTAAAAATGTGCGGCATTCAATTTTGCATTACCTAGTAAACGAGGAATATATGCTTTCTGGATACATTAGAATTCTTTTTATATATTAAACAGTAATAGATTCTAACAACCATAAGAAATGCACTACATTATTTATCACGTACGTAATGCACTGGGTAAGTACAAATAGCTGCAATTAATATAAAAGCAGCAAAATTTCAAATGATGTTTTTGGCAACTTATGTTTCCTTATTTATTTTTATTAAAAAAAAGGGAATTAACGTGCAATATTCATGGTTTTAAATTCTCTAGTACCGAACCAGTTCGGCGCTAGTGCGTTTCGCCACAGGGATGGGTTGAGTCAATAGCATCTACATATATATATAATATGAATCTGTTCTTTATTTGTTCTTTATTTTACAAAATGGCGAGCATTCGTGAGTGATGCGTCATTTTATTGAATTGTTTATACAATAAAAGCCTTTGTATGAGTGAGCTTTTTTTTATTTGTTATACCTGTACTATAGTGCATAAAGAATCTGTATGTGCATTTTTGTATGTACATATGTATTAACCTGCTTTTGATGTCTCTACAACTGATTATGTATCGGCATCTGTGATCAGCGTTGGCTCTTTTGGAATTTTTTGCCAAAACTGGAAATTTTTTTCTTTCTTTATCAATTTTGGCAATACAGGTCCGTTCTGTTTCTTTTCAAATATAGCAATCAAGCAGATTTTCTCCATGATTTTTAAATTTCAGCATTATAAATAAAATCAATAAAGAACCTTCATGAAATTTCCTTATTTTTGCGTCTGTTTTACCCGTTAGCCTAGACAGTTATTGCCGCTCCACTAAAATCTTTTGGTGCTCAACAAGAAAGTGCCTAAGCTCCTAGAAATGGATTACTTTGAGGCCATCAAGATCATCGAAAAAATGGCTACCAAGAGATTTTACCCATGCTTTTTAAGGTAGGATACTCTTCTTCGTCTATTCAATTTCTGCTCTTTAAACACAAATTTTGTTCTGAAAAAATGTGTTAAAGGGCAGGTAAAGTTTAAAACCTACATGAGAATATACATGAGAAATAACATTACTATTGGAGAGAAAAAAGTTACCGAAAATCTATCGCTTAATTATCGAATAAAGTCGTAAAATTTTGGATAGACAACAGAAGGAGCTGCCTGCAAATGGTTTGCATAACTGGTAAGACTCGCAAAGAAGAAAAACTATTATCGAAGATTTTGATCTGATCCAAAACCATTGCGGAACCAAATAATAAAAAATAAGAAGAAATGGTTAACATTTGCGCCGTCTTAGACAATAATCTTTTCCCACATACTGTCAATGTAGAACTTTTGGGGTTCCTAATCGAAAACTTGATTTTAACAAGCCACTTTTACACGAATGAAAGTATTAGGCAGTATTAGTAACACATAAAATAAGAGATGCATATAAAGCGGCTGCCAGCAAGTTTACTATAAAAGCAATGTACTTTATCCCGCTCAATATAACCTTTGTATGCAAATAATACTTACTATTCTGCTCAAAATAAGCCGTTATTTACCGCGTTTTGAATTACACATAAATTATTAGTTTATGTTAATGCATTTTTGGCTTTACTAAGGTTATTAACTGCATTTGGGTTTTTATTGTACAGTTTCACTGCAGTGCCTTCTTTTGCCATAAAAGAGCTCTGTAGGCATTTAAATGTTGTAAACTTATCAAATAAATGTCGCATTTGTCGCCTGCTCTGAATGGTTTACAATAAGCTGAAGTTCTTGAACTAAAATTTTCTTAGTAATTTTGTTTGGTGGATACTGCAAGGGTATCATGTCAGTTATTATATTTCATGCTTAAAAGTGCATGTGTATGTGTACATGTATCTACGTATGTATTAGGACGCACCTATTAATTAGCCAAAAGTATACAGCTTATTCATTGGTTTAAATAAAACAATAATATGTACATAGATATCGATGAACCACTGCAAGAACGACACAATTCGAAATTCAAAAAAAAATACGCATGCCTCTAATACGTATCTACTCTTTTTCTAATCTAAAATGTCTAAAAACAAATGTTATCAAGAGCTAGGATCCCAGCGCCCACTAGCCCTTTTCTTAAAAGGTGATATTTATGAATCAGGTAGTTGTTTTCTAGAAGAATTTTAAATTATTGGTAGAGAGAAGGCTTTAAAATCACCTGAGTTCTAATGGGCAGTTATCTACGGCCCTTGTGTAAGACCGTCTGTGCCTAGAGAGAAATGCCGGAACATTTTTCAGCAGATGTCTATTCCACTAGTCGGGTTGAAACATTAACCTAAGTTAAAATTACAGTAATGGAAAAATCCTAATCTTTAGCGACAGGCAGGCTGCACTCCAGGCTCCCTTCTGTTTTTAGGTTGCATCATCCCTAGTCGCTGAGTGCATTGAAAAACTTAACGTCCTCGCTGAACGCAATGACATACATACATACATATATCTACTTTGAGTACTGGGTTACGAAGGATCAGAGAGAAATGAGGTAGAACCAGGCTAGGCCAGGTATGCAGCGGTCTCAAGAACTGCGCATGAAGAGGAGCGTGCTAGTATTTGTTAGCTTTCAGAAGGTGTCGGGTTCGAATGCCGTCAGGCTCTTCCTCATTTTTTTCGAACTATGAAAAAGCTTCCGTAAAGTGCAGAAGGAAAGGGAAATGAACGAAAAATTCAATAATAAAAATTTCAGAAGAACAGCCAAAAACGTAACCATTTCAAAACAATTTTCGGTTCTTGCTCGAAATGTATGTACACTATTTTCATTAAAAAACGAACATAAATAAAAGTGGTAAATGTCAGATTTAAAAACAAATGCAAGGTTTATTTTAAAACGTATTTTATGTACAGCTTTGAGGTCCAAGTTAATAGCTATCTAATAACCATTACTATCTAAAATGGATTGACATCTCCGTGTACAGCTTTCTGATAACTTAATCGCATAGTCTGTAGTAAAGCCTCTACAAATTTTTTACGAGCTCTTTTCAGCTGTTTTATTGCTGTCAGATTTTTTGTAGCTATCTTATGCTTCATAAGCGCCCAAGGATTTTCTATGGGATTTGCATCCGGAACCTTTGCGAAATCTTTAACGGACATTTGCACAATTTAACATCCTTTTTCCGACAGAACACAACTTTCTCTCTTAAATATTTAACCAAATGAAGACTCGCCGGTGAAAATCACAGTTGTCCAGTGACGATTTTTATTTTGCTCTACCCAGAGCAATCGTTTTTCGAAATGAAATCAAAAAATATTTATAGGTCGCTCAAAGTTTTCCATGTTTTTTGTATGGGAAAAAAGAACTTTTCGTGGAAATGGTATGGAATTCTTTAAAATCAATATTTCTTGATGGGAAGACTCTGTTTCTATTTAACAAATTTTTTTAGTAACCATATTTTATAGGACCGTCAAAACCGCTAGAAAATGCAGTGGGGGATAAACAAAAAATCTTCATTATTAAAAAATGGTTAAATAAATAATTGTATATTGTTATTGGAAGTCTTCTGAAGAGAATGAACCAGAGTTTTCCGATCGAAAAATATTGATTTTCAAGAATTCTAGACCATTTCCACGAAAAGTTGTTTTTTCCAATACAAAAGTTTGAGCGCTTTGAGCGACCACTAAATATTTCTTGATTTCAAAATAAAAAATAGAGGTATACTTTTTTTGATATAGAACAATCCTAGGGGGTGAGAGCAATAAAATTCCGACTTTACTTATTTTGGACCACCCTAATATACATACATACAAATTTATCAGCTAAAAAATTTTTCGCTACAATTATTATGCTCAATAGCATAACAAAACAAAGTGTATATGCGATTAACTTCGGTCAGCCATTCAATAAAAAAACATATGTGACAAAAACAAATCTGACTCAAATAAAAAGCGAAAAATAAAATCATTAAACACTATTCATGCTTAGCTGAATGTGTATGTATGTATGCACATTTTAATGCTCTCGCCCCTAGGATTGTTCTATAACAAACAAAATACCCCAGGTTTTTTTAGTTTGAAGTTAAAAAATATTTAGAAGGCGCTCAAAGTTTTCCATGTATTTTATATGGGGAAAAAGAACTTTTCGTAGCAATGGTATAGAATTCTTGAAAATCAATATATGTCAACCAGGAAACTCTGTTTCTCTTCAGGAGATTCCCAACAATAATACCCAGATGTTTATTTAACCATTTTTTCATAGTAACTAAATTTCATAGGTTCCCCAAAAACCCCACAAAATGCAATAACGGGACCGCAAATGCAATAAAAAATCTTTAGTAATAAAAATGGGTTATATAAACAATTGGGTATTATTTGAAATCTCCTGAAAAGAAACAGTTTTGCGATCGCAAATTATTGATTGTCAATAATTCTATACCAATTCTACGAAAAGTTGTTTTCCCCCATATAAACAACATGGAAAAGTTTGAGCGCTTTGAGCGACCTCTAAGTATTTTTTTGATTTCAACATAAAAAATAGGGGTTAATTTTTTCGGTATAGAACAATCCTAAGGGGTGAGAGCATAAAAATTCGGACTTAACTTTTTCACAGGCATTTTTGGACCACCTTAATGTACATACGCATCTTAATAAAATAATAATAGATTAATATGCGGATTTTGTAATAAAAAATGAGGGTGAAAAAATATAAAATGACCGTAATATAATATAAAACAATAATAGTAAGCAATTTCCAACACATTTTAATGGAGTTACGCTAAAACTTTGTAATGAACAAAACATATACCCAAAATTGGGTAACAAAATACAACGCAATTCTCAAAAGTCAACGTGCAGTGCGCCCCACTGTGATGGAGGATAAAATTTGGTTACTTTTCTCGTGTTACCTTGACATCAGATTTCACGCGCCAATAAATTTTTTCTTCTGGCACTTTCGGTATGCAACCAAGGAAAAAGAGCAAAACAAAAGCGCATTGGAATGAAGTGGCAAAATTACATAGAAATACAAATTTTTAAGGCTTATACACTGCTACCTAAGCAGGCTAGTTCAGTTCAAATGCAAATGCGAATGAATACATTTTGATGTTAATGACCAAATACCGACTTTAATGAATTGTGTGAAAAAAGCTAAAAAATATTCACAAGAACACATAATAACACATACGTGAATGAAGCCAAAAATATCGTGCGACTTTTTAAGAGTCCACCTCTGAGTTTCTTAAGAGAATGCGCTCGCACATACATATACTAGTGCAAATGAGACTCTCTTCTTGACTGTTACGCGTTTTGGCCAAATCTCATCTTGAACTGGGCGAGACGTCACAGTAGTGCCACCAGTAGCCCAGCTCTAGTTCACTCACACAACAGCAAAAGCTAAGCTGCACAGCCGCTGGAGCAGATTAAAGTTGGAAACACCCACGAAATTCCATGAATGTATGCAAACTTAAGCGAATTGTATCTACGATGAAATTATTAATGGCATCTGTAAATTAACATGTTTTTTGCAGCTTAGTAGTAGGTAGAAGCCATTTTTGCAATCCATTCACAGCTCGGCCATTCTGCCAAATTTGGCAAGATCTCACTGCCCCTTTGCAAGTTGTACACTCCAATTCTCCCCGTTCTGCCACAAAAAACTGGCAAATTAACTCGCAATGAGCCAAATATCACAAGCATTTGCTGCAGTTTTCGCTTAAGTCGAGTAATAATTTTCACACCAATTTTAAATGTAAAATTCAGAATTATAAAAACCACCACAGAGGCACGCAAACGCAAATTAAAATCATAAAAACTGACTCAACGTCCAATAGAAAAAAAACAAACGATTTAATTCGCGCTCATTAAATCTTAGTCACCACTTGCAATTCAGTTCTATCTAATTTTCACGTTTTCCACAAGTTTCGACACTCTGGTGCTTGACTCGTTCTATCCGCGCTAGCTAACTTTTCCACTTGGCTGTCTCGTTTAAACTGATCTCGCCAGAGCGCTAACACTTGGTTAGTCGCTATTTGCTTTTGCCTGTTGCTTCCACCACCAGCTCATCCATGCCTGACTTGAAAGCCATGCTTCCTCCGCATTTATTGTTGACTGTTGTTGTTGCTATGTTTACTTATTTCAGTCAATTTCCAGTTGGCGTAGTTCGCTTGATTTTTTTACTACCAACACCTATGTATTGTTGTTGCTGCATTTTGGCCTGCTCTTTGGTTTGTATATTTTGTGGTAATTTGCTTTCGTTTGTATCTTTTAACCAATTCCTTGTTCTCTTTTTTGTAGTACGTTTACGGTCTGTGGGCAACTTGGCTGAAAAGCTGAATTGCATTTTTCGTGTTGGAAAGTGTATTAAAAAATCCTAATACGCATAGTTGGCTTAAACGCTGGCTAAAAATTGGTAATGGAATTTCTTTTTTGTACAAGTGATTTCTTCTGACGAACTAAAACTCGGTAGGATCAGTGTTTCTAATAGCGGTCGTCATTTGGTAGCCTATGCTAAGCCTCCGAGCGTATTTCTGGCCTCTCATTAAAATCCGTTTGCAATTAGGAGGCTCCAAAAAGATATTGGTCTATATATCTGTGTGTCAACATCGAGCCGAACAACAGAAATTTAACTGATTTAGAACATATCGCACAACTAGGTCTAAAGTGCGATCAACGCAAAAAAAAAAAATTATGAGCGCTTTTTTTGCATAAATCAATTCATAGGACTTACATCCAATTCAAGCAAATTTTTTTTCTTCGTGATTATATACATTAAATCCACAACCAGTTATATCTCTCTCTCCGAATAAAAAAAAATTTACCATAATTCCATCACATTTATTGATTGGGCCCACATATTTTCCGAGTTGTAGACGCTATAGTGATCCAATCTTCCCCATATTTTATATTTAAGGTTTTCTAATAAAAAAGATAATAAAAACTTAATTTCATCGAAATCGAATGAAATTTAATGTTTCCGCCCACAAGAGTGGAGGTCGTGGAAATTATCCCATCCTAACCAAATTTCATAATTTCTAATTCCTAAGTAAAATTAGAGTACATGTCAAGTTTCAGCGAAATCGGTGCAGGTTAACTATTATTTCCACCTGCCCCCATATAGGGGAAGCAGTGTGTGCCGCAGGGAGCGTGGTCTGTGGAGGGGTTTTAGTACGTAGGTGTAGCTGTAAGGATTAGTGTTAGCAAATGTCCCGTATTTGCCGGGACGTCCCGTATTTTGCATTAAATTTGAAATGTTCCGCCAGGACAAGATTTTTCTCGAATTTTCGGCAACTCATTATTCATTCCAACCTGTAAATTTCTAGCCAACATCGTCATGCTTTAGCGCGTCTATTGTGAGTGGGTTATTAGCAAGCGTTATTGCATGCAAGTCTGTAACAGAAATATAGCTAAAAACTTCCGTTGGTTTTTTTAGATTTTTTTTTTTTTGTGGATGGTGTTGCGAATTTTCTTCCATATAAAGCATGAACAAAACTGTCTTATATATGGAAGAAAATGAGCAACACTCTAGCCGCGATGCTTGAATTTGGCATCCCCACAAAATTTATATGGCTGTGTAAAATGACGTTGACCACCAGCTCCATAAGAATTGTAAGACACCTCTCCGAGTGGCAGTGTTGCCAACTTTTTATTTTCAAAAAGCACTAAAAACTTGGAAAAAAAGCGTTTTACCACACTAAAAGCACCAAATGGTTTTGCATCAATTGATGCATTTTTTCATAACAGTTTGTATGTATTTAACAAAAACAAAAAATTAACAATATTTACAAGAATGCATACATAAATCAATAAACAAAAGTTTTTCGCTCATAACGATTGAAAAGCCACATGCTATAATGACTCATGCTAACGACGTAATACCGAAGTACTGCACCTTAAAACTGATATAACTCAAGGAAGACAAAACGAATCCCAACAAACGTAAATCATGCCCCAATTAGAAATGAGCAAAAAAAAATTTTGTTTTTATTATATAACCTCAAATATCGCCAAAAACAGTGTTTTTGGCACTTTGAGTTTAGGATATCTCAAAATTCTAGTGCTAGAGCAATTGTGCGGCCAGATTTGGATTCAGCACCAAGAAACGATGTGTTTTACTCAGGTGGTATAAAAATAAAAATGTTTACAAATAATTAGAAAAGAAAAAAAAAAATACTTAACTTACTCGCATATCTACTAGCATTTTTAACGCGAATAGAATTGAAGAAGGTGAATTTGGAAGTTCAGCTTTTTATCAATCATGGTTGTATTTAAGTGCATTTAAATTTGTAGATTTTTATAAATTCAGTGCTGCCACAGCTTTAAATATTTAAAAATTATTTCAGGTTTTAACTATATCGGAGTAGTTTTAGTTCAGAAAAAAGCACTAAAAAAGGCACTAGGCACTAAATAATTTTTTTTGGCGTTTTAATTTTCAAAAAGCACTAAATCTAGTGCTTAGAGCACCAAGTTGGCAACTATGCCGAGTAGTTTGCCACCTAACGGGGTTTCAGACAGGGCGACTCCCTTACATGTGATTTCTTTAATCTGATGTTGAAGAAAATAATATGAGCTGCAGAACTAAACCGCTCAGGAACAATTTAGTACAAGAGCGTGGTGCACTTGCTAGCGTATCCCGATGACATCGACATCATCGGTAATAAAAACCTCCATTCGAAATATAAAAAATATGAAGGTGATGATCGCGAGCAACTTCTCGATGAGTTGAAAATTCTTGCATATGATTACATTGACTTCTTTAACTTTTCTGTTTTACTATTTTTTTGTTTTTGGAATGTTGTAATATACGATACGTTAATCTAATACGTTTACTTGTAATCACAATGTTGCAAATTTTTAAGCAAAAAAAATAACAAAGTTTAGAAATTTTATAGTTGTGAATTTAGTTGTTGAATCAACTATCTTTTTTTGAAACATAAGTTTATAGAAATTTATTTATTTATTTATTTATTTAGTCTACAGAAAAATGTTGAGATAAACAGATTTAGATATTTAAGTATGTATGATATATTACAGAGTGAACTAATTATACATATTAACTCGTAAAGATAATAATGATATACAATAGCAATTTGGGTAGCTGGCGAGGCCTAGTCTCCAGTCCACTTTTGTGTGCGGCGGGCGGAAAGACCTAGTTTCCGCTCCGCGCTGTTTACAGGCCGTTGATCATGGTCGGAAAGGCCAAGCTTCCGATCCATGTTCCCGTAGTCATTACTTTGTATGTGAGGCAGGCGGAAAGTCCTAGTTTCCGCTCCGCGCTATAGAAGAACTGTTGGACGTGGTCGGAAAGGCCGAGTTTCCGATCCCTGCTCGTATTGTCCTACGAGGTCGCGAAAATATACGAAGCCATTCCAATTGTACTAAGCAGTCATAGATATTGTGTAATTTTTCGTTCACGGTAACAGATATTAGTTTTTTTTTTAGTTAACTTGTTCAGCAAAGCTTTCTTTATTACAAGAAGCGATTCAGATGTGTCAAAGCAATCATAATGTTTGTTAAAATCTTGGCATAAACACCAAAAAGCATCATGCATTTCAAAGTTTGATTTACAAATACTCAACACAATAGGTTTAAAAATGGCTCGTGGGTCTTGTAGGAATACAAAAATTTATCTCACTCAGTAAAAACCTTGCAAAAATTTTTGGACCATATAGTCTTTTTGTGGTAAATTGGAGTACTTACAAAAGTGTTCCTCTGTCATGCTGTAGCGGACCAACTCGTGTCTCTGCGCCAGCTTATTGTTTCTTATCCGATCACTGCTCGTGTTTTAACGAAAAGTGATTGAAGTTGAGCATTTGAAAGCACATTTGCATGTCTGGCTGTAGCTGAACGTGTAGAGATGCTCGCTGTTAGTTCTTAGCTACCAGCATGTTCGGGTTCGAATACCGTCAGAGGCAACATGTAATTTTTAATTTTTGTCTTGGTTTTTATTAATTTCGAAAAAGCATTTGAGAAGTGAAGAACAAAAGCGTGTACAAACGAAAAAATATAACAACAATGCCATTGTTAATATGTTGGAGTAGTTTTGTGCTACTCTGATGTAATGCATGGATGGAGTATATGGTCCTGCCCCAGGACATCGCAATGTTAATTGGACCATATTTTTTATATGAATTGTGGTTAATTTTGGAGTACTCTTTACACGCATGCATGGAGTAGTCGCGATTTTTGCAGGAAAGGGACTACTGACCATCCAGTTCATTAGTTTAATTAAAAAAAGGAACACCAAGCATCTCTCTACGACTCAGAAGCGTCGGCAAATTAAACTAAAAAACTTTTCATTATTTCATAAAAATTAATTTTGTCATTAATTATTTGTATCTATTTTATGTATTTATTTTTTCGATTTTTGTAAATTTATGCAAAATTTGTAGGGATTTTTGTTTTTCGAAATTGTGGATTTTTGGGTTTTCGTAGTTTACGCTCATACAAGTAATTTTTAGCAAAAAAAAAATCCCGACTTCAACTCTCATATAAACAAAAAAAAATAGAATTATCGAAATCGGTTGACGTGGTCCAAAGTTATGCGGTAACATACATAAAAAAAAAAAAATATTCCGACGAACTGATAACCTCCTCCTTTTTTGGAAGTCGGTTCCCTGCAGGGAAAGCTACCAGTTGTAAACTATAATTCTACCGGTTTGCGTTTCAGCCGAACTAGTTCACGTTCTATCCTTTTTCAATGTTAGCGACTGGTATTTTTAACATTGCGATGTCCTGCGAGATGTCAATTGTCAGGCTATGCAGCAGCATCTACTATTATAAATACTAGTAGCATCATACCAGTTGATGAGATAGTCTGCCAATTCATGCCCCGTGAAAAGCATAAGTGTGCCTTCTTGCCCGCGACGCTCCAGCAGTCACAATGGCCGACAGAGCAAAGGATTCGCGTGGTAAGCCTGAGGTCCCAGGTTCAAATCCTGGCGCAGGGAAAATTTTTTTATTTTCTATTTTATTTTTATTTTTTATAAATTTATTTTTCTGTTCAGGCTTTTTATTGTAATTTTTAAATTTAATAAAGAAATATTTTTGTTTAATTTCTTTGTTTTTATAGCACAAGCATTTCTTCCTAAATGTTTTTTTGCAATGCAATTCGATTTTCAAATTTGTTATTTATGTATAAATTGAAAAAATTATTTTAACTTACATTTATTTAACTTTAAAA